CTTCCCCCCCCCCCTATCCTTTTTGTTGTCCGCGGGACACAGGTAGAGTGGCTATTGAGCCTCGAGGGCTGCGACGCCGCCGCCCGAACAACCAAGGGGGAAACCGCCCTGCACCTGTCGGCGCTGAGGGGAGACGAGAGGGTCTGTCAGACGCTCATAGACGGGGGCTGCCCGCCGGAAGCCGTGACGCGGGAGGGGAAGTCGGCGCTGCACTTGGCCGCGGCGAAGGGTGAGAACCGCTCGAGTGTGTAGGCGGCGAGATTGAAAGTGTCCGCTGTTAGCGGCGGAATGATTTGTCCACAAGGTCGCGGCCTTGTCGATTCATGATGAACGATCACTCGACCCGTGCCCGACATGCGGAAGTTTTACGTCACGACGCACACTTACTCCCGAATTGCAGTGACACTTTTGCCTGCTCCAACTTTTCCATCCTTGTCCCTGTCGTGAAGCGTTTGGGGGACATTTCGAAGGTGTTGTTTGGTAGCATAGCTTAAACAAAGCGCTTTACTTTTTGCCGCCAAGATCGTGCTCGCCACTCTCTCCCCTCTCCGCACCCACAGGCCACTTGGCCGTGACGCGATTCCTCGTCGTGGGGGCGGGACTGTCACCTTCTACTCCGGACGGAGGCGGTGCGTCCGCGGCGGCTCTCGCGCTCGCGGGCAACCACAAGTCCGTGGTCCGATTGCTCCAGAAGAACTGCCCGGGAGTTCCCATGGGGGTTCCCAAGCGGTCGAACAACAGCAGGCGTTCTCTCGACGCGGCGAGACTTCTGCCTTCCTCGGAACTTGCGGGGGGATCAGGCTTCCAGGGACGGAAGGGGCGCCGCAATCTGCGCGCGAGAGAGGGGGGGGTCATCTTCGGCGGTGACGGCGGCGGGCGTGGCAAAGGGGGGGTTGGGAAGAGAGGCGGCGCGAAGGCCGCGGAGGAAGCGGGGCGCCGGTTGCTGGAGGCTTCCAGAGTGGGGGACACCCTTGCCATGGGACGGGTCCTGGCGAGCGGGGACGTTGATGTAGAATGTGTCGGCAGGGGCAACGGGTGGACGGCGGTGATGGAGGCAGCGGAGCACGGGTCGTTGGAAGCGGTGTCGTTCCTGTTGGACAAGGGGTGAGAGTCTTGACGTGTGGGTACAGCCTTTTTTTTTTGTCAATTCGTTTTTTGTCGATTCGTGAGGAGGATCGATACCTGCGACCCGCAAGAAGGCGCATTTACCTGTGCTGTGTGCTTCCCCTTAGAAATCGGGGTTCGCTCGGCATGCTAGCACGAATGGAGATACAGTGGGGAACCCTCAATAACGCTGGTATGTACCCGGCGAATCGACCCGCCCTAATCAGAGGGACTGGCGCTATAGGGCCACCGGTGGTATTCAACCGGAGCTATTTAGCTGCCACTGTAGCTGCATGGCCGTGTCTTCCGGTCGTTTTCGTTGGTATTGCTCAAGGGTGTGAAGATACACCGCTTCCAAACTTTTGCTGCTGTGTGAGCCTTTCCCCCCCATTCATGCCCGCCCCTTTTGCCGCGATAACATACCTAGTGCCGACCTGGAGCGTACCAACAACAAGGGTCTCACCCCTCTGCAGCTGGCCGTGCGCTCTGGGCACCTGGGGGTGACGGAGGAGCTCTTGATTCGAGGAGCACGGCCGAACGTCACCACCAAGGCTGGTCTGTGCTTGCGCTGCTTGGCAAACTCTATGGGCCATGACTATCTCGCGGTGAGTTGAGCGGAGGAAAGCTTCACTCACGCCTATGAATATGTTTGCTAAATAGGTGCATTATCTTATAGTTAGGCATGACTGCAGCTGCTGTACCTGTAATGATTACCGACAGATTTGTTGTGGTGATGGCTTCTTGCGTCGTTTGTCTTCAATGCTATGTTTCAAGACAAGTCGTTTGCACGGCTTGGTCAAGCATTGCCAGAATGCCGTAGGGCGACCTTCACGAGCATAGTTGTGAACAGGTGTGGGCCACGCTTGCTGCCGCCGTCAAGATTGCCCAGGACTGTGCCGTCCGGACGTGGACTAGCTCACGGCGTTTTGGGGTATTGTAGGGTATCAGGGAGGCGCTGGGGCCCTCCACGGGCAGGGTGACCTGGCAGGGTGAACTCGTGGCCATTAGCGTCCACGTTCGCTTTTTTTATTTCCGGTACCAATCTGGGGGGGCCTGGACAGTAAAAAATATCCTACACGTCGTCTATCCGCGCGCATTTCACCCCCCCCCCCCCCCCCCCCCNCTCGCGCGTGTACGCATGCTGTGACTTGGTCTCGACTGCTCGTTAGGATTGGCTCTTCGCGATGGGGGTGGCTGATGGCGTGGACGGCGGTTGCGCTTGTTCAGGGGGCGCAAAGAGTGCCAGTGGCGGGGGCGACGAGCCTGCGTCCAGCGCCAACGCCGTAAGAGCACGGCAGCACACAGGCGGTTCCGCTCATAGCAACGGCGGCGCACCGTCGCCGTTGCCGCCGCCGCCGCCACCGGCAGGCTCTGAGACCGGTGCCCCGACGGCGGCGCTGACGGAGTGGCTGGCGAGCCTTGGCCTCAGCGCTTACGAGAGCCGACTGGTCTCCGAGGGCTTCGATACCCTCGATGCCATGTGCGCGGTCACGGAACCGGACCTCGAGGCGATGGGCTTCAAGAAGGGCCACCTGCGACTGCTGCTGGCGCGAGCGCCGTCCGCCTCGACGCTAACCACCACCGCCAACGGCGGCCGGGGCGACAGGCACGTGTCGTTTGTAGATGATCGCGGAGCGCGGGCGGGGTCACCGCCGGTAGCGGTAGCCTCCGTTCCCCGCGAGGGCGGCGGCGGCGGCGGCGGCGGCGGCGGCGGCGGCGGCGGCGGCGGCTGGGTGAATCCTACCGAAGTCATGGCGCAACCCGTAGCGCGAGATGTGGGTGATGAGGACAAGGAGGAGACCGACCCCCGGTATTGCGAAGCTTGGGTGCTGCAGCCCTCCCGGGCGCTGTCCGCGGGAGGGAGCAGCGGCGGCGATCGGGCAAGGAGCAGCAGCAGCAGCAGCAGCACCGCCGAGGGGTTCAAGGAGCTCAAGCCGGAGGAGGTGGAGGTCGACCACGTCATCGGGGAAGGGTCATTCGGCGTGGTACGGCGGGCTCGGTGGAGAGGTATGGAGGTTGCCGTCAAAGAGCTCAAGACTTGCATCGCGTCCGCGGCTGCGGTGGCTGCGGCGGCGGGCGCGGCGACATCGGTGGCGGTCGGTGGTGGCGATAGCAACGATGCGACGGCGGGGACGGAGCTGGGCGGCAAGGTGAAGCAGCGGGATATTGACAACTTGGTGCAGGGGCAGGAGGAGATGCGGCACGAGGCGAGGATGCTAGCCAAAGGTGGGTGGGCGGGATTGTAGGAGAAGCGCGCAGCAGCCTACAGGGTTTTTGGATGTACGGGATGTCTCGCTTTCTTCTTGCTGGTGTGATACACGGCTATCACTCGGAGGCGAGGGAAAATCGTTCAGCTGAAATTCGTGTGGTGCCCACGTGTCGCAATCTCGTTAGCTTTTCTGCGCCGCTCGCTCTCGCGCACCGAACTCATGCGCATTGTTTCTGATGGTACACCCTCGTCCTCGTCAAGCCCTTGCTTGCGACTAGTGGTGGTTTGAGTTGGAGCGATAAATAGATCAATTCAACGACCACACACGCGTCTCCTGAATAGCAAGACGGTCATCGAGTGGTAAAAAATTCACCCAGAATCAGCACGAAGCTCTCAATCACCTCACCCCGTCCCCTTTAACCTGCCCGTCTGTCTGGAACCCGATTTCTTGTGGGGGAAAACGTTGTTGCCGAAATACATACAGTGTGCAACCACAACTGCGTGGTGCAGTTCGTGGGGGTGCTGCTGCGGCCGGTGCCGTCGGTGGTGACGATGTTTATGGAGAACGGGTCCGTAGAGGACATGCTGGTCTCCTCCGACAAGACGGCGACCAAGGACCTCGTGTGCCGCATGGCCATCGAGGCGGCAAAGGGCGTGATACACCTGCATAGGCAAGCAACGGTGTAGACGCTCACGCGCTAGCGCACACACGCTTTGAGGCCCCGCCTAGAGTGCCGTAGGGTTACAGCAGAGAGAGACAGAGCACAATATTGTAGCAGTGCACACACTGCAGGCCCCGCCTGGAGTGCCTTGTTGGAAAATTTTGACAACAACCAAAGTTACGACAGAGAGATTCACAACAACTTGTTCGTCCGCAGTACTTTTGCTGCGTGTCTTGCCTGCTCTGCATGCACTTCGAACGCGTTGCCAGGTGGCAGCAAGACTATGAATCGTGTGGAGGGAAGCTTTATAGCTTCATGTTGTGGCGAAATGGTTAGACGGACGATGATTTTTTGTTGTCTTCGAGGTTCTAGTAGGCGACCGTCACCGTCTATCCCCTTCCCCCTCTCTCGAGTCAACATCAGCCGACAACCGGGTACCATGGTTTTCCCCACGTATCTCTGACATGCCGACATCGCGGGTCGTTCCACTTGTTCCCGTGCCACGTCTATTGACCGCCAGGGAAGGGGTGGTCCACCGTGACCTTGCTTCTCGCAACCTCCTCCTCGATGATGGCTTCCACGTCCGCATCGCGGACTTTGGGTTCTCTCGCGTGAAGCGCGAGTGCGCGAGCAGAGGTTACACGAGGAGCGACATGGGTCCGATAAAGTGGACGTCACCGGAGGCGATGCGAAAACGGTGGGTGGTTCGAGGGCGACAAGGCGGCGTTGTTCGTTTCCGAGGTCGATGCACGCGCGTTGTAGTTGTCCAGTCTCTCAGCTGTTCAATCGTGGTCGTTACACGTGGTGTCGTCCTTCAGTCTCAAGTGCAATATACAACCGCGGTCGTTGCACGTTGTCATCTAGTCTCAAGCGTTTCAATTGTGTTTGTTAAACCTTGTCTTCCTTAAGTCTCAACTACGCTGTTAAAAACGTGGTCGCTACAAGTTGTCGTCCTTCAAATTCGGAACTCAGTCGTGATCGGTACACACGGTCTCAACCATTTGCTCGTGGTCGTTACGCACGTTATCGTCATCCAGTCTCAACAATCACTCGTTGCGGTTGTCGTCGTCAAGTCTCTCAACTGTTCAATCGTGGTCGCTACACGTCGTCGTCATCATCTAGTCTCTCAAGTTTTTCTTCATGGTCGTTCCACGCTATCGTCCTTCAGTGTCAAGAATCAATCGCGGTCGTACGCGTTGTCATCATCCAGTGTCAAAAAACTACCGTGGTCGTTTCGTTTTGTCGTCGTCCAGGTGCTACAGCGAGGCCTCTGACGCGTTCTCGTTCGGGGTGGTCTTGTACGAGATGTTCGCCAGGAGCCCGCCGTGGGAGGGGCACGAGAACCTAGACGTGGCGTTTCGGGTGTGCTCGGGAGAGAGAATGACGGTGAGGCCATGTGGCTGTTGTTGTTGTTGAGTGCAACCACCATCCCTCCCGCCGAGACAAAATACTGGCACATGTGCGCGAAAACGACGGAGGTGTGGGTGATATGCCCGCCACCGGCCCGCACAGCTAACTAGCCCGGGCACGGTCGTCGTGCGCTCTGGGCTCGAGGCGGTTTTTCGATGGGCTGAGGTTTGCCGTGCGTTCCAATCAGAAACGACGTCAGCGGCATCCGCGTGTTGCGGCCAATTAGTCTCCGTTCGGTCTTGTTTTCCTGTCGTGAAAGTCATGACTGAGGATCGTTGTCGCTTCCGTCTGATCTCCACTCGAAGCTCAGTTTGAGCACCCGGGACGATGATTTTGCAGTTCACTTGTGCACAACGCGTCCCTGGCACAACTACGCTACCCAAGATGGTAAGTCTATCCCGTTCGTTTAAAGAAGTCTTGCCTCTGTGCTCGGCTGTTTGGCAGTGCGACTAGAAATGTTGTCCTCGAGTTTTCCCGCATCGTAGACACAGTCTTGCTTTTTCCTTACGACTTCAGCTGCTTCCTGTTCCCTCCGCGTGCTGATTTTTTTCTCGTGACCTTCGACGTGTGTCCGAGCCGAATGTTGTTGCTGCTACTGTCGCTCCTTGTTGCTGTTGCTGCTGCTGCTGCTGCTGCTGCTGCTGCTGCTGCTGCTGCCTCCAAAGGTTCCGCCTCGCGTCGACGCGCCGCTGGCGGACCTGATGCACAAGTGCTGGAACGAGTCGAGCCGCCTGCGACCGGACTTCGCCTCCATCCTCACGGCGCTGACAGCCTTCGCGGGCGATCACGAGCTGGCCCGGGCGAACGGCGTGGAAGGCGGCGGGGCGGCGGCGCTCGTGGAGGCCGACCCGTCCCCGCCCCCGCCGCCGCCGCGGCGGGACGGCAAGAAGTCTGCGGCGGCGGTCAAGATCGCCCGGGCGAAGGCGGAGGCGGCGGCGCTGGCGAATGCCGCGGTGGCGGAGCTGAGGCGCCGGAAGTTAACGACCCTGAGAGCGGTGACGGAGCTGCAGCGGCAAGGGCCGCGGTACACGGCGGCGGAGTCGGAGGAGGTGAGCGCGCAAGAACAAGGGCGGCGGCGGCGAGATGGCGGCGGTGCGGCGGTGGCGGGGGCCGGTGGGCGTAGACATAGCCTGCGACGCGAGGCGTCGGGACAGCGCGCCGCCGCCGCTGCCGCTTGGCCTCTCTCGGCCAAGGCGGGGGCGGGGGCGGGGGCGGGAGGCGGAGAGGGTGCGGCCTCTGCTGAGCCAGAGGCGACGGAAGGCAACAGCAGTGGTTCGCGGCTATCGCGGCAAGGTAGCGGAGGAAGTAACAGCGGTGCATCGTGGTTATCACGGCAAGGTAGCGGAGGAAGCAGAGGAGGAGGAGGAGGAGGAGGAGGAGGACGGGGTTTGGATGGGAGAGGCCGAGGAGGAGTTAGGCCATGGAACGGCGACGGCGGCGGCGGGGGCCGGTTAGGGACAGCCCGGGGCGGGGGGCGGTTTGAGGGAGGCCGCGGAGGCGGCTGGGGGCGCAGCGGAAAAGGCCGCTCCTTCCCCTCCAGAGGCGGCAGCACCAGCACCGCCGGCAGATGGGGAGGGCGTTTCGGCGGCAGGGGGGACGGTGGGCGCGGGCCTTCGCCCGGGGGTGCAGCAGCAGCACCGAGCGAGGATTTCGCAAGGCCGCCATCGCCGCCTGGGCCGGGAGACGGACAACAAGGCCAGGGAGGAGGGTGTGGCGGCCGTTTCTCTGTAGATAGATAAAAAGTGTCCAGGAAGCGGGTTTACTACGTGTATGTTCTGTGGTTTGTTGGCCCCGGAATGCCCAAGGTATTGTTAAATATCACGTTTGCTTGCTTGACGTTTTTTTTTTTTCGTGGCAATAGATGATTAGCTCATTTCGTCCTGGTTGCGGTCTGAGAGTCTGCAACGGGTGTCCTTGGTGCCGAGGTGTCAATCCACTGCTGTGGTTGCTGCTCGATCGTCGTGTTCAGGCTTTCCTAAGTGACCTGGTCTATCCTGTAGCCTTGGCTTCTCATGCCTTTTGTGCTGTGTTCCTCCGCCAACACGACGAGGCGTTTGTAGATGGATTTCGCCATGTCTCCACTACGCATACAATGGCCGGCGGTACATCTCTGGCGAAATCCATCTACAAACGCCTCGGCGCGTCGGCGGAGGAACAGGCAGATGTGCCACGAGTGCGCGGGCTATGTTCATAGAGCTTGTTAGTAGTTTTTGCTTATCGTTTGAGGAGCGGGGAGTCCGGAAGGGGAGCAGGCAACAACGAATCGAAGGCAAACCAAGGTTAGTTTACGAGTCTGGTGGCGTGTTTCCTCGAAGAAGCTGGATTGCGTCGCGCTTGGCTATCAAGAAAAAAAAGGTTTGTAAGGGTGTTGTTGTTGACCCGTGGTGTCTGTTGTGCTGCCAGTTGCATGCGCTTGACGGCTCGCTTCTATCGGGCTTGAAAGTTTCGTTTGCCTGCCGCCTTTTTTTTTTTTGCGGTTGTTTTTAGTGTTTCTCGGTTTTGCTGCTTTGTGCTGACCACGCATTGTTGCGCCGTGGTCTCTGTCGCGTTAAAGAGGAAGAGGTACAGGTACCTGCTTTGGCGACTCAACCAGCGCGACGGCTCTGAAAAGGCGCAAGTCGCGCAAACATGAGGGGAATTGGTAGCCGATGGTGTCTTTGTCGTGCTAGTGTTGGATGGCGAGAGGGGGGGGGGGGGCGTACTCTTTTGTTTTGCATGCCTTAGCCGTTAGACCATTGACCACGCGTCCTCGAGAGGACGGAGCATTGTTCCCACAGGACCGATCACCGATGGCCAATCGTTCCTTTCTACTTTGCCAAAGGTGGCTCAAAATTGTCTTCCCTAGTCTATCCTTACGAGACCCCTTCCCGCCTTTTCAACCCACCTCCTATGCCCCTAGTACAGCTACCGTCCTTTCCTCTCTATTCCATGCCTCAAACATCTCCCTGTACGTCCCATCTATTTTTCCCAGCTCAGTCACGTACACTTCCCTCTCCTTCTTGTACAACGGACATTCCGCGACTACATGAACACGGTCTTCGCATTCGAAGCCGCAATCACATTTGAACTCGTCGTCTTCGTCGTCTACCGTCCTATGTCTTCGTCGACGTTCTCGAAGGCCTATGTCCCCGGTCCTGAATTTGACCTTAAGCTTTGTTCCTGCATCCATTGGTCCATGTAGGTAGTCCTTGAACCCTATTCCTTCCTTCAACATTCCGTACACTTCTAGACCCTCCTTATCCTTGGATTCTTTCCTCAGATTCTGTTCTTCTCTCTCGGCACAAGCAACAGATATCTTCTCCTTGAACCCCTGTAGACCCTCCGTTTCCAGCGTTTCATCTTCGTCGATGTCGAGCCCCTTCCATACGTCCTCTACAACCTTGACCCATTCCGTGGGTTGTCTACCCCTCTTTTTGTTTGCCCACTTCGCCTCCCATACAATCCTCGGCAACCTCTCCTCTCCCATCCCGCACATGCGATACTGCCAGGTCAGCTTCCTCGCGTCTCTTCCCGACCGTAGGGATTGGATCCCCAATTCTGCCCTCACGGCTGCATTACTTGTGCGCCTGGAGCATCCTAGGATGGTTTTCGCTGCTTTCATCTGCGCCGCCTCGAGTTCTTTCACTACCTTCTTATTTCCTTCCCATACTTCTCCGGCGTACTCTAGCGGCGGTACGATTACGCTCTTCAAAACCGTCAATTTGATGCGTGTATCGAGGTGCCGGTTTGCGAGTATTGGATGCAGCTTCCCTGCTCGTGCTTTGCCCTTTTCCGCTACCTTGGACATGTGTGCATTCCACGAGCAGTCTTTTGCGATCTCTACTCCAAGGTATGTGTACTGGTCCACTACTGCAATCTCCTCGATCCCCCACTTCCATCTATGTTCTACTGGTTCCTCCTTGTTCTCGTTGCATACCATGACGGCACTCTTCTGAACGTTGGCAGACAATCTCCACTTATCAGTAAACTTCTTCGCCGCGTCAATTTGCAGTTGCAGTCCCTCAGGGGTGTCCGACATACCGACAAAATCATCCGCAAACAGCATTCCTGAAACCGACGTTTCCGTGTCCCCTACTTTTACTCCCTTCCGGACTGCCTCTACGACTTCCAACAGATCGTTGATGAACACCTGGAACAATGTTGGGGACAGCGTGCAACCTTGTGGGACCCCCTGCTCAATGTCGAAGAATTTAGACAGTTCTCCGTCTAACATGACCGCGCATTTCGTACACTCTCTCATCTTCTTCAGCACCCTTGATCCCGTATTTGGACAGTTGTTTCCACAACCCATTTCTCCATACGGTGTCGTATGCATTTCTCACGTCCAGGAAGAAGCAGTACGTCGGCTTTCCCGCCCTCTTTCTACCTTGGATGATTCTCCCTACCGTGAATATGTGGTCTACGCACCCCCTCTTCTTGCGGAAACCTGCCTGGCCCTCACTAATGCAATGTTCCTTCTCCAATACTCCCACTACCCTATCGTTCAGCAGCTTACAGAACACTTTTCCTACTGTGTTCAACAGTGTGATCCCCCTGTAGTTTCCTGGGTCAGTCTTTTGTTTCCTTTCTTAAACAAGTTCACAACTACTCCTTCCCTCCATCTATTTGGCGTATTGTCTAGTCTACTCGTTTTTCCACACCCAGTTGTAGACTATAGCAGAACCATCAGCTGAATCATCCCCTTCCCCCCAAACTTCATGAACTCGTTGACTATCCCATCCGCTCCTGCTGCTTTGTGGCACTTCAGCTTGTTCACACACGCCTCAACCTCGTCCTCAGTGAACTCCATTTCTAGTTCTACGTTCCCAACGTCTGCCTTCGATGTCTCTTCTTCTTTTTGGGCCAATGCGTCCACCTCCTTCCTAAACCCTTGGTCAAAAGCTTAATTCTCCGAGGGCACTCCAAGTCTCTTGTAGGGTTCTGCTAGAACTTCCCTGTTCCCTTCCCACTGCTGACTCTAATCCACCGTTCACACCTCGCAAACTTGCTACTCCTGCATCCCCCCCTTGCGCGGTCTTTTTGACCATTCCACTAATCCCTTCCCACATCTGCTTGACGTTTCCCTCCAGACCTCCGTTGGCCTTCTGCACTACTTCGTCCCAAATACACTTTTT